TCTCTCTCTCTCTCTCTCTCTCTCTCTCTCTCTCTCTCTCTCTCTCTCTCTCTCACACACACACACACACACACACACACACACACACACACTTGCTTTGTGTTTCTCAGTGCATTCACACTCACAGGGCAACAGGTAGCCTGCCTGTTATTTTGCAGCCAAAGTCTCCCAACCAACAACAAGAAGGCAGAAGAAGCTGTGGGACAGCCAAATGCTTGCTGCCCCCAAAGCCCGCTAACTGGCTTTTCCCCATCAACATCAACAACAAGCAAGCGCTCAGCAGCTTCCTTGATTCTGCAGGCAACCTATTAGACGAATGCTGCTTTCAAGTTCTACCACCATATACTGGCTCCCTCCCTCTCCTCCCCCCCCCCTCCCCCTCCCCCCCTTCACCAGTAGATGCAAAGCAAGGTCTACCAAAAAATAGACCAGCAGAAGTATCGTTAACGCTGTTAGCTATAAACAGCCTCCCACAGGAGGTTCGAACTATGTGCCCAAACACACATCTATTTCCACGAACGAATCATAATACCACTGATCAACACCTGAGGTGTTCCCATTCCGCTTACTCCACTCCGGTACACCTATGACACACACGTGCGTCCGGCGATGCTGTAGTAGGTGCCACTTTTTCAGGACCCGGGCAAGTGACAAACGCTCCTCACAGAATCCACAGATCAACACCTTTCTTGGCTCCTGCTTCCTCCCAAGCACCGTGCTTGGCAATGAATAGAATTCTCATCTTGACGCGCCATAAAGTGCAGTCGATGAGTTTCTGTTCTAGCTGGATCGACACGCGCATAAGCTGTTTTGACCTGCCACAAGCCTTTTTCCATTACCTATGAGCATGTTCCCATCCCCATCCTCTGTTCGCAAATAGAGGCCTGTGTACTTTCTCTGTATTACCTTCCTTCTTCTGTCGAGGAGGACCGCCTTCTTCTGTCGAGGAGGACCGGAGCAATTGCAGCCCCTGCTGAATGAACTCGGGTGCAAACAACCCTGCCAGCTCTTTACCGCCATTCACGACACTCTTCCAAAGAAACCAGTTCCAAAGGCGCTGCAGCAACCACCCTCGTCTCCATTGTCTTCGGTCGAGGACCAATTCCGCAGCCTTTGCAGCGCTTGACTGCAAACCACCCTGAGAAGCACCTTCACCAGCGCCATCCAGAACACGCTTAAGAAGAAAGCACCGATTCCCCTTCCTTCCCTTGGCGGTCTTGCAAAGCACTGTTTGATAGGGCAACAGCAGCAAAAGAGACGCAGTCATATTCGCACCTCACATTCTTGAGCCCCCGGTTCACAAATAAGCAATAGCAATAATGTCATCATCAACCCAGATGCTTGTGCATTCGTCTTGCGAACGCAAGCTAATTCCATGCACAGACTCTAGAAGTGGCTGAAGTCGTCAACACGCTTGGAAGTTAACGTGATGTCAACAACTCGCCTTTTCGTCAGAAGAGCGGTGTACCGTCCCCGGAATTCCGCCTGGTTACACAGTAGTCCAGATATTTCTGAAATGAATTGACAGGACAATTCTCTGACAATGCGCATCCGGTGTGAGAAGCTCGTTGATGCAACAGCACAAGCAGTCGCTCATCGCTCATCAACAGCCAAGCTCGAGTATTCAACCGATAACGCATTACAGCTGCCATCTGCCCTCGGGCAGTGTGCATGCTGCCACTCACATCATTGTGCAGCGCTCACCATCCTCTGCAAGACTACAACTCCACAAGGAGTGTTCCTTCCTCCCAAGCCACAGTGAAATTTACGACAGTGTCCGGAAGCACACTCAGACCAAATCCACCAAATCAATATGAATGAGCATGAAACGCCATGAAAGTATGGTCCAGTGCGTTCCCGATAGCCTCCTCGTGAGCGTACACCCTTTGGGAGTCACACAAAGGTAAAGCGAGAGGGCGTGGTCGGTTCTGTCCAATGCTGCTTTCAATACTTGCTGTGCTGGAGTTGTTTCCGTTGGACGCGCATTCGATAGGCAAGAGGCAGGGAGGCAGGGAAGCAGGCAAGAAGCCGGTGGTGGGCCTGCCCAGCATGCACTTCTAGCAGAACGGAACAGCTCCCCGAAGTCGGACCAAAGCATGCGCGCATGCTTGGCAGGCGACAAAAGGCACAACAAAAAGAGACCCGTGCCTTGCAAGACATATGAAGTAGCCTGTTAAAACTCAGGCTCCCATAATGATTGCATACGGCTTGGAACCGTTCCAAAGCTCATCTAACTCTCTCCTCATCCATGCACCAAAAGCCACAGGCCCAAGTGTAGACGGCACCTGAAATCCATCAAACAACGCCACCATAGGTGTCAACAACGGGTAACCATAAGTATGTATAGTAGTATACCTTTTATTAATATATTTGAAATATACTTGATTGCCTTTACTGGAGAAAAGGGGAAGGGGGGAGCAGGAGCAAGAGAGGGGGGTGAGAGGGGGCAGGGAGGGAGGATAGGGAGAAGACGGAAAACCCTCTCTAGCAATTAAGCATGCACCCAGCACCGCCTTCCTTCCCCCAAACCGAAAGGTCGTACATAGCATTATCTGCCTTGAAAATAGCAATGAATAGAGATACATGGCCCAGAGCCGAGTAGGGGCATTACGGTGGTCCCCACCAAGCTGGCTTGCAAGGCTCCCCTATAGTTACTACCATGAATGGGGCTGGCAGGCGTAATGGCCCGCCTGCCCTCTGCGGGAAACTGAAACACACATTCGACCCAATGCATTGTATTTTTGGGCAGCAGACTCTGCCAACCACGCATGAGCATTCGGGGAATACACATTTACAATTCATCGCATTTTTTGGTCAAAACAGCAGGAAACGCATGGGGCACTTGGGCACCTTGATACGCAGCAGATAAGGTGAACATAAGGTGGGCGATATCACAAACCCTTGCTAAAAAAATTCTATAAGCACAAAAATAGCACTATCACTCCCTGGCCTTCAAAATCCACCTAGAGGTGGGACCCGGGCCAGAAACTGCACCTGGAGGTGGGACCTGGCCCATAAACTGTGCCTGGACGTGGGACTTTGGGGCCAAAAACTGCTCGTAGACGTGGGACCCGGCCCAAAAACTGTACCTGGAGGTCACTCACCAACCTTCTTTTCTTTTTCACTAGCACCCAGACCGCATCGGACACACTCCCTCCCCCACGCAAAAGGATGCAAAGAAGGCCTGCTAATACACGATTCAATCTTTATGGAAGGAAAATAAGCATAACCTGTCCCAGTCAATGCATAACAGCCGTGTATTCTAGTACCGTCTCCCCGCCCCCAATCACAACAGACCCTGATAACGAACGTATACAAGCTATCATTCCGGTCCGGTGCAGCCAAACTGACAGTGCATTCTGTTTGGGGGAAGACGGTAGGGGTGAGGCACAGAGTGGAAACAAAAGAGGGAGGTGTCCAAACCTGTGTTGCCAAAAGCACCTCTCTGTAAAACACTTCCCCCCCCCCCCCCCCCCCCCCCCCCTCTCTGTGAAACACTCAAACAACACCACACCCCATTCATTCGCAAAACCCATCATTGATCCAGACCCAAAAAAATGTGGAAACCTGACAGTGAGGAACACAGATGGCGGTACATGGGGGATATATCTCACGGAGATGGACGAAGGAGAAAAAGAGGAGGAGAATAAGGAGAACCATAACAGCAAAGCAATTGGAATTGAACTTACCAGGTAGAGAAGAGCTGGTTGGGGCGATCGGGTGAGCACGCCTGCTGCAAGAGCAAGGACCAGTCCAACGCCATAGCCAATAGCAGCATACCAGATGTACGTATATCGCCGGGAGGGCAAATCCATTTCGGAATACTCCCTAATTTTTCGATAATCAAAACAAAGAACCAGCGCTAGCAGCATGCCTGGAATTGCCTACGTACATAAGAGCACACCACGTGTCAATCAATCAAATGAGGACACCTGCCTGGCAGGTCCACATAAACACAAAGATTGTATATACATGCAATACAGCAAACAAGGACAAGAAAGCCTTCCTCATAGCCAACCTCGCACGCTGACTTCCCACTACAACCTTTCCAGGATGTATCTCAGCACAATCACACGCAGGTTACCCTCGACATACCGACCCAACAAGTCCCAGAGACGACGAGACCCTAAACATATGGAAGAGAAATCGAAGTCCACTCCCAGAGGCAAACATGGTCAGCCAATCGTTCTACCCAAGCCCACTATCATCGGAGGGTGAAGAAAGAGAAGAACTCTTCTGAGGCAAACATGGTCAGCCGATCGTTCTACCCAAGCCCACTATCATCGGAGGGTGAAGAAAGAGAAGAACTCAAATAACCTGCCTAATTGGGACTAAGAAGCCATTCTCAGTCCATCATCGGATGCAGAGACAAGACTTCCAAAAGTCGTTGCAGTTACTACGCCCCCCCTCCCCCCCCACACACCCCCACCCATCAAGCACAATGCGGAAACATGATGTCAACACAAATTTGAAAACAAACAACGTCAATGGAAAGTCGACAAAAAAACGAACGCATGAGAATACATATGCAAGGAGAAGACTTCTTCGTTTTTTCCATAGCCGCTCCGGTTGTATCTGGATTTGAACTCTGGTCTGTATTCCAACAAATAATGGGTGTGCCAACTGAGATAGGCCCTCGTTGGTAAGAAGATTTCATTTTCAGCAACCCCGCCAAAAATTTGAGGGTTTATTCCTACGCAACGAAAAATTTGATGAGATGAAAGGAGGGAAAGAAAAGGAGAACAGAAAAAGAATCAATGAAGAAAAGGAGAGCAGAAAAAGGATCAATGAATCTGTGTAAAGCATCGTAATCATAGAAGGGAAGCAGCAGTACACATGGAGAATGCCGACATAGTGAGCGTGCAAAAGAGGGCTATCATGTTCCCCCGAATAGAGTGCACAGTCATTATCACTATGTCTAGATCGAAAGTTGCCCCAAATACCGTGCGCTTTATTCGGCGGAAGATGGTAGAGGCAGGGAAGTGCCACTGACAAATAGACCTGGCAAGGCATGGAGTGGGACAATGCGCCCCGAGAACATAGTACTACTCATGGTCATTATAGCTGTATTAGGCACAACTTTCAGTCTATATACAGCATTAACTATCATGTGTTCTATTTGGGGGAAGACCATAGCCCTCTCTCATGCTCTCTATATGATAGTGAGGCTAAAGAAACACAGTACTCACGTAAACCGCTTCCCTCACACCACAGGCAACGCGAGCCCCCAACGTTATTGTCCGCAGGACTCCAACTCATGACCTGTCGATCACTAATTACATGGGCATGGGAATGCGTGTATCATTCACCCACCACTCTATTTAAAAAAAAACTCGCCTCACCCTGCAAGCAAAGCAAGCCCCAACATTATTCTCTGCATCACGATTTGAACACGTGACCTGTCTATCAAGAGTTACATGAGCACGATGCAGCCACCAGTCTCTTTGAAAAACGCCCCCTTCATCCCTCTCTAAGCCTGCACTGGCTTTGTCGCTGAATGGTACACACATGCCCATGACACCGTTGATAAACAAATCATGAGTTCCCGTCTCAATGCAGACAATAGCGTTGAACCCAACCCCCTAAAGACTCCCAACGTGACAGAAAAAAAAGGGTCAGCCAGCCCAGACACACTCCAATACTCGAGCTCAATTCCCACACGGTATACATGCAGAAGTCGATCATCAAAACGTGTAGTCTCGTTTCTTCAATGGTCAGGCATACTCGCGCCAAGCTCAAAATCGACTGCCAAATCTCAAGAAGGAAGAGGATGTGAGAGAAGATCGAACGGTGGACGGAAGAAATGGAGAGACACGGGTTCAGAAAAAAAAAAAAAAAAAAAAAAAAAACCACCTCTTCCCATCTGATCCCTATGCCCAGCAAAAAGGGCTGACCACGTGCAATTAAGATTGCTACTATAACCACCACACACATCCGCAAACGGCAACGATGACGTTTATAAGACTGGAGCCATCACAAAGGCCTCAACGCCACAGCCATCACAAAGGCCTCAACACCACAGCCAGTCTGATCGCTGTGGAGCTCAAGGTTTGACAAAATGGTTGCCCGACACAGACGGGGAAAATTTTTAAAAAATAAATAAAAAAATGATGACGACAACATTAGATGACAATGAGGATGAAAGTGGCGGTGACCGCCACAGGGGACCTCTGAGTCCGTATGCCACCATCCTCCCCCGAACAAAACACATCCCTATTAGTGACTGGATACAAGGTATTTGTCCTGTCCGATACAGTCAGGATGAGGGTGCATTGTGATCAGGGGAAGAAGAGACGGCAGTCGAGGACGGTCGCCAAATCAACATTTTGGGATCATCACAGGGTAAAAATAGGTTGTAGCTGTGATGAACGGGACGGGGGGAATATAACCTGCGACAACAAATACTAACAAGGGATATAACCATCATGCTATTGCTATGAAGACAACGGCCACGAGTGCCACCGACCTTGATAATCATCAAGACGACGGCGACGAATGCATACAAGATTAGGAAGAGCAGTTAGGAAAAACGATCAAAGGCGTTGCTGGTAGTGTGTCGAAGAATGACTGATGATGGGACCATGATATCGATAGAGATTACGTTGTTAAAATCTGCCCACATGGCCGTGCAGAGAGGATAAAGGTGAAGAAACTAGTGAGAGAAGAAGGCGGACAATTTTCGGACGATGTACTGCAGTGGTGGTAGTGGTAGAAAAAGGAAGAGCAAGAATATGAACAAACAAGAAGAAGAAGAAGAAGAAGAAGAAGAAGAAGAGTGACAAAAAGCGACCATAGAGCTTCCCGTACAGGCATCTCAAGCTTCTCATTCAATCCGCATGTACAAGTCTCAGACACGTGCACATTCTCCGAAGAAGAAGAATAGAAGAAGAAGAAGAAGAAGAAGAAGAAGAAGAAGAAGAAGAAGAGGAAAAAAAAAGAAGAAGAAGGCTAGAGGAAGTAGAAGAAGAATAGTGAAAATCGAAAACAGGGGCCAACTGCCTCTCGTACACGCATCTTAAGATTCAGCAACATAGCTTCCTGTATAAGTCTCAACTACCCGCACGTTCCCTGACACGCCTTTCGATCGGCTGCGCTCCAATCATCATCAGGAGGCTTTCCACACCACCATGCCTTGCGGCCCAAGGAGAAGAAGGAGAAGAAGGGGACGAAGAAGCTGAAGAAGAAGAAGAAGAAGAAGAAGAAGAAGAAGAAGAAGAAGAAGAAGACGAAGACGAGACGCTGCTAAATACGCCAATGATGTCGGACCTTCGACATATACTGCCGCACCATGTCTGGGGTGGCGTATCATTCGTGTTTGGGACACGAATGATACGGAATGGGAGGAAGTTGATAAGTGAGAACGAGTCTAACGAAATGACCAAGCAATATACTAGATAGGCTATTGAGGATCAATAAATCAACGCAATGACGATGATAACTACGACAAAGACGACGAGATCAAACTTTCCCCATCTCTCTCTCTCTCTCTCTCTCTCTCTCTCTCTCTCTCTCTCTCTCTCTCTCTCTCTTCCTACTTTGCCACATTGTCCGCCAACGTTATGACCGCATACAGGAAAAGAGCTTGCGCAAGCTTGGGACAACTCTCCACCTCTCTCTCTCTCTCTCTCTCTCTCTCTCTCTCTCCCCTCATAGTCCGCCAACTTTTTCAGTCCCTCCCCTGACTGCATACAGGAAAAAAACTTGCGCAAAGTTTGGGGCTTACTCTTCATCTCTCTTCCTAGAAAGAAAGTCGCAAATCATATCCATAAGGATAATGATGATAGAATTGCTAGACGAGCTTATATGCACTCCCTTCCGCTTTTTCTTTCCTTCTCCATACTCGATAACATGGACTTCGACACACCGGATGCACCTCCTCAACCGTGAACCCTGTTTTCTTTCCCCTTCCTTGCCTATTCCCAACGCCTTCCTCTCTCTCCACACCTTCCTCGTTCGCTCCCTTCCTTTTTCAACGCGGATAGGCCCTCACCGTATTGTATCCGTCTGATTCCACCATCAGGATTCGGACTGACGATCTGCTTTTCAACAGTAGTTACATCTGCGTACACCATTCACAGCCACATGGGCAAGACCTCGTGCGGGGAGGAGTTTGCTCCGCCACACAGTCGCAGCAGGCCAAAAACTGGATGCACGATGGGAGAGGAAGAAGATGCTTAAGCCATGCTGGCAAGGAGTAATTTCTCATTTGCGACCCCACCCCCCCAACCCCCACCCCCCAACCCCCACCCCCCGGGCCTCAAATTGAACGCATGGTCATCATATTCAACCTCACCACCTTATACCAAACCCGCGCACGCAACACGACAGTATCGGGTCCTTGCTGTCTTCCACCGAGTAGAACCCGAGGTCATTATAATAGCTTTGCATCTGGTGCAACTTTCAGTCTAAATACACGGTTAATGGCTGTATGTTCTGTCGGGGGGAAAACGGTCGGAAACAGCCTGCGTGACAGCAGCGGCAGTTGTTCTAATCAACAAGATAATACTGTACTGGAACTACCGCCTTCACTGGAATACAACGTGGAGTTACTATCGCTGTATCTAGACGGAAAGTTGCATACACCAGCTATAATGACTGGCCAGTCTAGTCAGGTGAAGACGATTCCGTCTTCCCAACCGAACAGAACGCAATGACTGCATCGGACTGGAAAGATAGCTTGCATACATTGATGTATACATTGATGATGCGGGTGCGTCGTGTTCGGGGAAGATGGTAAGAGTAGTATATACTGATGGCACCCCGTTGCTTCTTTACAAGGGATGTGCGCTTCTCTCCCGCCTTCCCACTCGGACGCAACACATCCTCGTCACCGGAAAGATAGATTCTATGCATTCATGATGAAGATGGATAGATTCTATGCATT